TGTCCAGAGAAGCTGGTGATGGCCCCGGCGAGGGTTTGGAGGCGGGAGGGTGAGAGCCCCGTGAGGACGCACGGTGGGGGCACCCCGTGGCCACACCACCGCCTGAATGTGCTCACCTGGTGTGCCCTCCCACGGTGCTCACCTGGGCCTTGGAGGGCTCTGTCCTGGGCACACGCATAACAGCTCATTCGTGGTTGTCGCCTCACCCACTTGCTCATTCACGGCTCATTCACTGGGGAGCACACCAGTGCTGCGCCCCAGCCCAGGGCAGCGGCAGATCCAGCGCTGAGACCCCCTGCCCCCGGCTGCCCTCACCTGCTCCACGTTGAAAGCCGTGTCTGCGTCTGGTGCATAGGCGTCCGTGGGACACGGATGCACGGGACTCGCCACCTTTCTCGTGTCTGCTTCCACGTTTGGGTCCCGTGGCTGCGCTGCGCTGACACCGGCTCCCCAGATGGGTGCTGCTGTCCCGTTTTGTAGACTGTGGCATTCATGCACCCAAGGTCACAAAGCTAGTGGGGTCGTGAGGGCGCGGGGGGCCGGACTCGGACTCAGGGCATCTTGCCTAAAGCATGGCGCTCCCCTCATCGCCTCTAACAGAGCTGGGGTCGTCCGGGCCTCGCCATCAGAGGGCTCAGGTCTCTGCTCGGCCCCCAGCCGGCGGTGCCACCTCCCCTGGCAGTGCCCTGGGTGTCATGCAGGCAGGACCGGGAGGCCTGCGGGGGCAAAAAGACAACAGCCGCTCACTCACTGACATTCCCGGGACCTCTTGTAAGGGCCAGGCGTACGCCACACCCGGCACAGCCGTGGGTGAAACCACGCGGTGCTTCACCGGGAGACCCTGGAAGTGAGCGTCCTGGGCTGTCCAGGCCCGGTCACCTCTGTCCATCCCAGACGCGCCTCTCAGTGCAGAGACGGTAGCACCCGGCGCCCGCCGTGCAGGAGGTCCAGGCTGCTCAGGTCACGCGTGTCCGGGCCTGAGCAGATTAGAATCCTCCACCGAGATGACTCAGCTTTGAGCTTTTCAGTGTCTACCTGGAGTCTCCTGCTAGCGCTGGTCTCCAGGGCGTTTGTAGGAGAGACCGGCCACCACCTTGTTTATAAACGTCCACTGTTGGCCCCAGGCTCGTACTCCCAGGACCAGGCTTTGCAGAGCGAGGCGGGAGCGGGAGCGGGAGCGGGAGCAGGAGGTGGGGAGGGGGAAAGGGCCTCCCAGTGCCTTCAGGGTCCCCGAGGCTCTGCCTCTAACCAGGATCACAGATCACAGTGGGTGGCGGCCGGGCGATGGCAGCGCCGCAGGGGGAGTTGGACGGGAAGCGCCTCTGGCCAGCGCTCGGTCCTACCGCACCCCCGGCAGCACCCTGAGGTGCCGCAGGAGGAGGCGCCGGCCTAGGGCCCACGCGTGGTCTGTGCTGCTCAGGTGGCCTGGTCTGCGCACCAGGAGGCCCCGCGCCCGTGTGTTCTGGGTGCGGCTGCGCCGCGGCTCGGTGCATGGCGGGTCACAGCAGGATGCTGGGCCTTCTGCTGCAGGGACGCAGATGCTCTTCCTCACGGGGCTCTCGGTCCCCCGCGGAGAAACCCGGTTCCTTCCGATTAGATGGGAGGCGGTGTCCTTGGCCGGAAAGACGTTCTCTGGGGCCTCAGGACCTTCCACTCTCAGGACGAGTCTGCCCTTCCCATGGGCGCGTTTTCCTGTCGGTGCGACAAGCACGCAGAAGTCCGGGAACAAGGAGGCCTCAGGCTGTAGTCCAACCCCCCGCCTCCTCCCTGGCCCTGGCCACAGAGATGCCGTGTCTAACTGGCTCATGACAAGCTGTGACCAAGCTGTGCGAACGCATGTGTCCCGCAAATGCCAAGCGACGCATGCACAGGGAGGCGTGAGGCCGCTGTGTGATCACGCAGACTCAGCCTTCCACACCCAGCCACCCGGCCTTGGGCTGTGATGGGGCCAGAAGATCTGGGCTCTAGCCCTGGTCCCCTTAATGGCTGGGTGGGTCGCTTCCTCTCTCCGAGCCCCTGTTTTCCCCTCTGCAGAATGGGAGTAAGAGTCCTCACTCTGCCCACTCCGTGTGATGGGTCTGAGGCTGAGATGGAACAATGGGAGTGAAGACAGCATACGGATGCAAGGGACACGTGTAGGCTCTCCCCAGCCTTCCTGAAGGAGAACCGCACTGGGAGAGGGGGAGGGGGAGGGAGAGGGGGAGGGGGAAGGAGAAGGAGAGAGAGAGGGAGAGAGAGACAGGGAGGGAAAGGGGGAGGGAGAGGGATGGGGCTACAGCTACAGCCAGCTGGGGGCTTGCTTCCTTCCACAGGACCCCAGCTCGGATCCCCATTCCGATCCCCATCCTGCTCACTACGCAGGGCCTGCCCGGCCCCAGTCCTCGGCTGGACCCGGAAGACTGACGGGGCGTGGCCTCCGCCTGGTGGTCTCAGCCATAGGCAGGGAAGCCGCCATGCCTCTCACAGGCGCTCGGTGGCATGGTGCAGACTTGGTGCTGGGTCCTGAGGAGGGGGCGGTTGCCAGTGGCCACTGATGGGCGGCTGGGGGGGGGACATGGAGTGCCTGTCTCAGGAGACAGGTGTTTGCTAGGCCAGAGCGAGCCAAAGAGGCCCCGAGGCTGCTGCCTCCTTCCGGGCAGAGGACGCCGGAGACACCAACTGTGCCTCCTCCTGCTCCTGCTGCAGCTCCTCGCAGCCCCCAGCTGGTCCCCAGAGCTGTGCTGCCTGCAGCCCGAGCAGAGGGCGATCTGTCCCTGGGGGAAGTAGAGTTCTCTGGGCCTCACCCTGTTCAGTGTGACCCGGTCCCTGGTTCCTTCTGCCTCGGCCGTGGGCAGGACCTGCCTCCCGGGGGCAGGACCCAGCGGCCTCCTGTCCCTCTCACCCTCCCTGGAGTTGCCCTGCACCAGGTGTGCCCATGTGGTCCCCGCTGTCAGCGAGACCACTCGAAGGGCTCATTGTATTGTATTGAAAGCATCTCAGAGCTGGAGGGTCTTAGAAGTTACCCCTTCAGCCCGATCCCGGGTGTGAACTGCCCTCGTCTCTCCCCATGGACAGGCACCCCCTCCCCCCGGGCTGAGACCCACCACGCCAGGGGCTCCTCGCCTCTGAGACGGCCATGCCGACTACGGCCATTCCTCGGCGGCAGCCCCCCCTTCTGAAATTCCCGCCCGTGGACCTGGCTCTGCCCCCTTGAGCCGGGCAGAGCAAGTCCAGCTCTGGCTTGTGGTGTAAGCCAGGCGCACTCCTCACAGCCCACTGCCCTTCAATCCGGGGAGGGCACCGGCTCACCCACCGCGGCTGCTCAGCAGGTCTCCAGCTCCCTCTGTCGGCCGGGCCCCTGGCGCACAGCTCTGAATGGGGCTGCCTCTGTGGCACCGCTTCTGAGAGGAGACTGGCCAGTGGGCTCCTGGGCCCCTTGCAGAGAAACCTTCCCACCGCACCCCCTCCAATCCGGGGGGCCGGGAGTGGCAGGGGCAGAGGGGGCCTGGGACACCGGTTCTTTCCCTCAGCTCCTTTCCGTGCAGGTGGCTTCCTCCCACCTGTCCCCTCACATTCCTCTCCCCTCCCTGTCTCTGTGTCCAGCTGGCGCCTTGGTGCGTCTGCGCGGACCGGTCACTGTCCATCCCTGAGCCGGAGGCGCAGGCTGCTGGCTGGTCGGTAGTTACTAGCTACGCCCTGAGCTGTGCTGTTTCCCTGTTCGCGGCGGCGGCTCCCGGCTTTCCTCCGCACAGGGGGGCTCTCTCCTAGGGTGCCCATCTTCAGGGGGTTTGCTCCCCCACACCACTGGAGCGGGGGCTTCTGAGGGTGTGGCCACTGCAGAGGGTGGACCTGGAGCTGACACCCCTTCTCTGGACAGATGGACCCCCTCCCGGCGCTCCCCTGCTGGGCGGGAAAGCACTGGGCCTTTTCCCATGGACTCAGCCGCCCTCCTGCCCTCTTTTTTCTTTTTTGGACCCTTCATTGGTGAAGACTCTTCTGCTCCCTCTACCTCCTTCCTCTTTCTGGGCCTTCAGACTTCCCCGTGCCTGCCCCCTGGCCTTCGGCCTCCTCTGCCCTCCGTGGTGCCAGGCTGTGGCTCAGGGTCCCGGCTGCTCCCCCCACTCTTCTGCTGCGGTTGACAACGCGTGTGGAGCTCAGCGTACTGCCCGAGGGGCCATGCCCCCCAGAGCCACGGGGAATCTGTTTGCCTTCCCTGCAGGAACCTTCAGGCCCGGGGCAGGCCAGGTGCCCGAGGCCCCTCGCTTCCTGGCCCCTGGGGCCTGGGCAGAGCCTGTTCCGGCAGGAGCCACTGGGTGCCAGGATAGTGCTGCTAACAGCGCTGGGAACTGCCCCCTGAGGGGCCAGGGACAGCCCATTTCCCGCGCCCAGCTCAGGACCCTCTTGCTCAGGGCCCTGGGCTCACGGGGGGAGCTGAGGCTCAGGTGTGCCATTGCAGTGAGTCTCCGGCCAGCCTTCCTGCCTCCTGGCGCAGGTCTGACCGGCTGCAGCTCCTGGTGTCGGGTCTGAGGGAGCGGCGGCGCTCAGGGCCCCGAGCCCCGACCTCACAGGACTAGAGCTCTATTCCCCTCAGGGCTGGCCCACTGGCATGTGGGTAATGTGCCCCACGGTGTGTGTGGGGGGAGGGGCGCAGTGTGCTCAGGGGCAGGGGCAGGGGACTTTGCTTGTGGTGCCTGCCTGCCCCTGACGTGCTGTGCCTCAGAAGTCATATTTGGGGGCCGCAGTGTCCCCGTCTGTGAGGCCACGGCTCCTAGGAAAACACGAACGCCAGTTCCTCTTCAGGGTGAGGGGCCACTGGGCCCAGTGAGCCTGGCATCCTCTCGGTTAGGAAGGGAGAAGGAAGGTTCCTGTAGGGCTGGTCCCAGCCCCCCGGGACGTGGGGAGGCATATGGCCACGGGGAGGGCCCTGGGGCAGACCCCTCCATTCGGCTCAGAGCCCCGAGGACCTGGGGAGTGACGCTTCACCGCCTGGGCTCTGAGCAGGGGGCCGTCCCAGGGCAAGGGTGCGGGGACGCTGGCCTGCCCCACGCTCCCCTCCCCAAGATGAGGAGGTGTTGGGTTGGCCAGGCCCTCGGCCCCCAGCGATCCCGTGTACGCTGAGATCCCCAGGGTGCCACCTCCCTCCGACAGGAGAGGCCTGGGCCTCCCACAAAGGGAGAGGCCAGTCCCCTTCCTGTCACCGGCCGCCCTGCCTCCCAGCCCTGGGGAGGGTTGGAGCCCTCTTGGGGACAGGAGGTGCAGGGTCCACCTGAGGAAGGGGAGAGGGCACCTGGGCACGCGTGGTCCCCGGAAAGTGGCCCCGGGGGGAACCCCTGCCCGCAGACACCCCTCCCTGTGAAGGATGTAAAAAAAAAAAACTTGTTCTGCCTTTTTGTCTCCCCTCCCCCTCTGCCCGCCCCATGGCCCCCCCAGACTGCCTGCGCGTCGGCTGTGCACCCAGTAAGTGGCTTCCCTCTTCTGCAGAGTCCTGAGGGGCTTGGGATGCTGGCCCGGGTCTGGGGGGGCCGGTGGGGGAGGAGAGGCCTCATCACTGGCTTGTGTGGGGTTGGGCAGTGGGTGTGGGGAGGCAGGGGAGCGGGTGGATGGGGTCGAGTGGTTGTGGACAGCATGGGCCGAAGGAAGCCAAACCAGGGAGAGCTGGTGGGGGTCCGGGTCAGCATGCTCCCTGGGCCGGGAGAGGGAGGGCAGGACACCTCGTCATCTCATGGCCTCAGGAGCGGGGGACAAAGTGTTGGTGGCCCCGCAGCGGGACGGCCCACCCCGCTTTCTGGGCAGGAAGGTGGAGAGAGCTCTGGGCCAGGATGTTCCGCTGCATCTCCAGCGGCGGCCACAAGGGGGAGCGCGAGGCACGCCGGGAGGGAGATGCGGCCTGAGGTCCGTGGAGGCAGCGTGGTCAGAGCCTCCGAACAGCCTCCCGGCTCCTGCGTGGGCAGGGCTGCCTTTCGGCCACACGGGGGCACCCTCAGAGGTGGCCGCGAGGCTCCGGGGTGCGGTGGAGAGAGAGTGGGCGTTTCTGAGCGCCCAGACGGGTACCTGTGTGCATTCCCGTGGCGACCCTGCTCCCTGCTGGCGTGAGCACCGGGGGGCCCAGGGGTGACCTGGGAGTGCTGGAAGGCTCAGCACCGTTCTAAAGAGAAGTTTTTTCTTTTTAAAATCTTCCCCCGAGGATATTTCCCCCCATTCATTATTAGAGAGAGTGGAAGGGAGGGAGAGAGAGGGGGGCTGCAGATCGAACCTGCAACCCAGGTCTGCGCCCTTGACTGGGAATCGAACCCATGACCCTCCTGTGTGTGGGCCAGCACTCCAACCACTGAACAACACTGGCCAGGGCCAAAGATAAATCTTTCTGTTTTATTTATTTTTCTTCTTTAAATATATTTTTTATTGATTTTAGAGAGAAAGGGGGATGGCGAGAGAGAGAGAGAGCTCGATGATGAGAAAGAAGCATTGATTGGCTGCCTCCTGCACACCTCACACTGGGGATCAAGCCTGCAACCCAAGCAGATGCCCTGACCAAGACTCCAACTATGACCTCCTGGTTCATAGGTCATTGCTCAACCACGCTAGCCAGGGCCAAAGATAAATATTTTTGTTTTAGACTTGGAAGCAGTTAATCCTGGCCTTGAATAAATGGTCATAATTCCTAAAAACACATTCCCCTGTGGCCACGCTGAGTGAGCTGTGTGTGGGGTGACTAGTGTGTGCAGGAGGGTCACCCTGGGCCCTGTGTGCTGGGGGGCTGTGTGTCTGTGGAGGGCCCTCTGCCAGCAGGAAGCTGTGGGTGCCCCGTGAGGCTCTGTAGTTGGGAAGGTTGTAGGTCTACGCATGTGTGTGGGAAGTTAGCTGCTGGCTGCACACATGGACGTGGAAGGTCCTTAGGAGACGGGGAGGAGCATGTTGGTTGTAAGACATGAGAGTCTGTGTGCAGAGCCCCAGGGCACAGCTGCACAGGCACGGGTCACGTCGATTCTCTTCGAATGGCACCTGGGATGTTGTACGTCGTGGCAGTGCCGAGTATGTAAAAGCTTTCACGTGAGTGTGTGTATCGGTGTGCATGGTGTGTCGCACAGCCAATGATGTGCCGTAGGCTGTGTTTGAACTTGTGTGCACATGTCTGGGGCCTGGGCTGTGTGTTGGGGGGGTGCAGAGGCCACGCTCACTCCCCCCTTGGTGCCGCAGGTAAGGGCCCGGAGACCCTCTTTGCGGGGCACAAGCTCAATGACAATGAGTGGCACACGGTGAGGGTGGTGCGGCGTGGCAAGAGCCTGCAGCTGTCCGTGGACAACGTGACGGTGGAGGGTAGGTGGCCTGGGGCCAGGGGGGTGGACACATGGCTAGTGGCCTGTGCTCGGCTCCGTTCTGGGTGACCCCTGCCTCGGGCAGCATTCCATCAAGCTGCTGCTGGCATTTCTCCCTCGGGGGTGGTGTAAATGGGGGGCCTGGACCCCAGGACCACCCGACTCCCTGCCGGCAGCCTGTCCCCGGAAACCTGGCAGCCCAGGACCAGTGCCTCGCCCCACCGCTCCTCCTGGTGCCAGGACTGCGCTGGCATTGGCCCCACCTGGGCACGCTGCGTGATGTCTTTTCTGTGTGGCCCGTGTGTGGAGGGGCGGCTCCTGGGGACCCCAGGCCCAGCCTCAGGAATGACCCCCCAGCCTGCGCCCTGAGGCCACCCCTCATCTCTGGCTCCTGTCCCGAGCAGGGCAGATGGCAGGGGCCCACACGCGGCTGGAGTTCTACAACATCGAGACGGGCATCATGACGGAGCGGCGCTTCATCTCGGTGGTGCCCTCCAACTTCATCGGGCACCTGAGCGGGCTGGTGTTCAACGGGCAGCCGTACATGGACCAGTGCAAGGACGGGGACATCACCTACTGCGAGCTCAACGCCCGCTTTGGCCTGCGTGCCATTGTGGCCGACCCCGTCACCTTCAAGAGCCGGAGCAGCTACCTGGCGCTCGCCACGCTCCAAGCCTACGCCTCCATGCACCTGTTCTTCCAGTTCAAGACCACGGCCCCCGACGGGCTGCTCCTGTTCAACTCGGGCAACGGCAACGACTTCATCGTCATCGAGCTGGTCAAGGGGTGAGGTGCTGGGCGCTGCACCGCTCTCCAGGGAGTGGTCCCTCTCCCCCGCCACTGGCTGAGACGTCTAATCCCCCAAACCACAGGCCAAGATTCAAGTCCCCAAATACCAGCCACGATGGCAAAACAGCACCCCCCCACCTTCTGCCCTGGTGACTCCCCAGTTACTTCCCTGCCTGGGGTGTCCCAGTCATTTGCTCTCCCTTCCCTGTCCTGGCCACCTCCCCACCCCCAG